AAGAGAGAATCGACCATGTTTCCATCACGCTGAAGGACGGCGTTAGTGAAAAGACGACGATGGTGAAGTGAAGCCAGCGCTTAAAGAAACGTGACGGTCAGCAGAAATGCAATGAGCAAGACGATGAGTGCAAGGAACAAACATAAAAAAATGAAGGGGCAGTGGTTTAGTGGGCTGAACATGTAACTAAATTATTATAAAAATAAATAATTAAATATAATATATATTAAAAAAATAACTTATTTGTTTTTCTTTTTTTAATTCAATTTGATAATAATAAATACAAAATTTCAATCTGATTAATCATGGGCAGCTGTAGAATAATCACAATTAGTCATGATTAATCGCGATCGTGATTAATCACGATCATAATGAATCACAATCAATCATGACTAATCAAGATATATCCACATTCCTAAAAATAATTTCCCTGGATATTCCTTGAACAGAAATACATAACAGTTAGACGTATGTGTTTTTCCCACAGTGTGTTCAAATAACGGCACGTGTATTGACTGTGTATTCGCGCAAATATAAACTGATGGACAGTGGAACTATTGGATACACAGTTCGCGTCATTCAAAATATTGTATTGTATATTCAAGGTAACAGCCCTAAGATAAAGAAGGCAACATTTCACCTAAGGATTGGTGTTGGATTATATAAAGAAAACATGACCAAACACAGGAAGCATGTGCTGAGGCTTGTGTCACGAGGTAAAAAGTCAATATCAGCTCTTAAGTTCACCTTGTGATTTTACACATGAAAAGCCTGGAGTTTTGCACTCAGACAATATTTGTTTTAATGAGTCACAGTTAAGTCCAAATAACTGATGCTCACAAGGCAGGAACATGGAAATGTATCTCTTTAGTTTATCAGTGAACTCTGTCTACTAAAAACTCTACCATTAACACTGAAACACTAATTTGTGGAAATAATTATTTTTGAAGACCAGCTGCGTCAAAGCAGGTCTTGTGTCCACTGAAGTGTATAAAATGTGTGTTTGACAGCTGACGACGGCTGCAGGCATTTCTAACTGTCACGTTCACACCTCTGTCCACAGCTATTATCACCTCTGATAGAAATAGTTCCTGTTCCTCAGGATGTTGTATGCTTAGATGATGAGTGGGTATGTTTGCTGAGGGTGTGAACAGAACTAGACTAGACTGGACTGGACTGGACTGGACTGGACTGGACAGGGACAGGCACAGCATGAGCACATCTCCAGGACAGCTGAAGAGAGGGGGCGCCAGAGAGCATGCATTAGTAAGTCTGACCTAAGCTGCGGATGTCTATGGTGATGTCCACATGGCCGTGCTCTGCACTATGGTACATGGCCTCTCTCAGGGCTCTCAGTTTGGCCTTTCCTGTTCGCAACGTCCCGCCACTGTTGGCATGCAGCGACAGTCTCTTCTCCCCGGGGTCTGAACCCTCGGCCAAGATCTCCTCCAGGGACAGGACGTCGCCCTTCTCCTTCTCAGGATGGGACAGCAGCTTTCGAAAGACATTCCTGAAGGATGGTAGAAGAGTAGGGATCAGAATTGGAATCAGAAAGACTTTATGGACTTCCTGTTGAAAACATGTACAATAAGTTAGGACAAGTCTGTAGTATTTAGAAAAACAGGAACACAAGGAGCCAGATAATGTTTAGGTTAAGACCAGAAAAAGCTACTAGTTAGCTAAAAGAAAAAGCTAAAGAAATCGTTAGCCCAGGAATAACAAAAGAGAGGATACACAAGATTATAGTTAGCTCGAAAGAAGAAAGACAAAGTTTTCTCAGAAGTAGTCCAATGGTTTCAGAAATAATAGCATAAATAGCCATAATTTAGCCAAGAAGATAGCCAGCAGAAAAGGAAAAGGTGGAAATAAAAGCCACATTTTCTGACATAACAAAACCTGGCACAAAAAGAGAGAAGAAAGTAATTTCTTATGATTCTTCTAATTCTCAGTTCATTAATAATTCATTACAAATAAAGGGAAAAAAAGTCGCAAAGGATTAAAGTTAACACACTTTATCCCTTTAGTTTACCGACGTCCTTGTAAATACCTCAAAGATGAAGCTCAGAAAAGGTAGAGGAGCCGTTAGTTGACACTGTAGTGACACATACGTTTCTTAACATTAATTATTGGTCTGCGGCATCGTCTTCGTCGCCCTGCTGTGACTGCAGTGGCATTAGTGCTGCATCCTGCTCTGTCCCCACTCCCCCACATCAACATCTTCATCATCACCAACTGTGAGCTGAATGTTAATGGTTTTTATCTCACTCTGCTGCAGGGAGATGATGTCAAACTGAAGCTCTGACTGTTACTGAGGAGACCGCAGTGTGTTTTTGTCTGCGCTGCCCCGAGATATCTGTCACTGCTGCAAAAAGTAAATCTAAGTGCAGGGCTCGGGAGAGGCTCCGGGAGCCATGATCCAGACCTAATAATTCAAGACAGATTTAGTGAAAGAAAATATGACAACAAAAGGTCAAAAGATGATGGAGAAACACAGGAGAGGGACCAGAGGTGATGACAGGAAATCCTTACAGTGACAGGTGAGTGGAAAATGTCCCACAAGTCGCTAAGATGGCCAAAATGTTGTGCAGAGTACTGGGGTTTCCAGGATAAAGCTAAAGGTATGGAAGGAAATGGCTGAGAGGAAGGTGTCAGTAAATAGAAAAAGTTAGCTTTAAGTTAAAGAGAAATATTGGCCAAGAATTACTCAATGCTAGAAAACAAATGTTAGCCAAAAATTACTTAACGCTAAACAAAAACATTAGCCAGAAATTACTTAACGCTAGACAGAAACTTTAGCAAAAAATTACACTAGGCAAGAAAAAAACATTAGCCAAAAGCTAGACCTAAAAATAGCTAAAACAATTATTTTAATGTCTGTAATAATTTAAGCTACAGATTAAAGTCCCAGTCCAAATATTTTACCCAATCTGTGGAACTCTTACCTGTGACCGTGTGCTGCTGCCAGGCTGTAGGAGTTCATGTCGCCCAGTGGAGCCGAGGAGATACCGTTTCTACACATGGTCCCAATCATGGGGTCAGCTCCTCTTTCCAACAGCAAACTCACCAACTCAAAGTTTCCTGAGTAGAAGAAAAACAAAATGAATTGAAATCCGTGCTAGCTATCCCGGACTAGCTTTGGTAAATGATACAGAAACCCGGACTAGCTTTGGTAAATGATACAGTCGGTAACCTGGTGCTTGGAGTGCTGTATCTAACAGACCTCAGTGGACACAGGGTGTGCATGATATAATGCAAAATATATGTCACAAAACGTAGCGGTGTGTTTTTTCTACCTGTGGCTTAATCACAGGCTCCAACAGTCTGCTTAAGTAAATGTGACCGTGAAGTACAAACAATCAGGAGACAGAAAATGAGCCTGAACAAAATTATCCTTCACTTGGAAACTATTCATTAAGAAAATTAGCTCTGGGATTGAGCTCCTTGTTTCATCTGCATTATTTATAAACCAAAGCAGCGGAATATTAAAAGTGCTCACTTTGTGTGATTGTCTCTTTGAATCGTTTTCCTGCAGTAGTACAGCAGATAACACTTTCCTAACACCGTGTCCAGCTTCACTGTAGGTGTGTTTCCACCTTGGAACCAACTGATGTGTGAGAGAGGAGCAAATGTGAAATTCTCCTTCATCTTCAGCTTCCTGGCAGACACCTGGAGGTGGGGTGTGAAATTCTGTCGAGTTTTAAGTCTGACTGTAGCGCCAGGTTTTTGTTAAAGTCGGTGAAAACTACCACAAACTACGATGCTGCCACCATCTGATCTTACAGTGGAAGTCACGTTCATTATGTTGATTAATGACATGTTTTTATGCCAGATTAATCAGATGTGCTATGAAGGTTGTTCAGATTTCACTTAACTGGTCCGAAAACGATTATTTGTTTACCCAGGCCCAGCTGAGAGGAAACTGAAACTAGAAGATCATTGTATTTGTGACCTTTTGTTTGGTGGTGGACTGTGGTTTTTTTAAGATGTGCAATGGGCCAGACCCTGCCCAGTGGTGGGAGAGTACTACATCAGGACTTTGAAATACTTGGGTAATTCTTTTTTGACCTTCTGCTGACTGTTGCCTTTGGCTAATACTTGCCGACCCGATGTATCAATAACTTCAGGACTGATGATTTGTTTTGTGGGATTTTTATTTTTTTACCTGCGGCTGAAGCCAGCTGCAGCGGCGTCTCCGTGTAGTTCTCAGCCCCATCCTGCAGGGCGCCCTCCACGTTTGCTCTGTTATCCAGAAGCAGCTGCAGAGAGAAATGTAAAGTACTTTTGTTAAGCTCTGGACACAGCTCTTCCTTATCGGGTTTGGGCTGTATATGGAGACAGAGTTGGGGTTCCCTGAGAATGACGTCGTGGTTGAGAAGAAACAACAAACGAGGAAGGTTTCTTTATCTTATGTCTGGTTTGTTTAGCTGGCGCAGATGAATAATTGAAGCAAATCCAGAAGTGGTGATGCTGATCAGGCTCAGAGCTCACGTAGTCACTGACACTGAGTATTAAATGTTCAAAAATGAACAAAATACTGAAAATGGTGTAATCTGCGAGCGGGCGGAGCATCAGGTCGACTGAGCTTTGGTTTCGCCTCGGGATTTCTACCTCTGCTGCTCTGGGACTTATCTTTCACCTCAGTTAGAGCCTGGAAACCGTGTGACTCATCCACATACATCCAGAGAACCTACATTATTAAAGGGATATTTCATGTATTTTTGATGGGTATTTGTAGGACGTAGTGACACAGTAATCAGTGCTGACTTCACTCTATGTAATATATGAACCATAGGCCGTTGGGAAACCATGTCTCCCTGTAGGAACATGAGGAAGAGAATCTAATATTGGCCCTTTGATAACAGCCTCCTTTAAAAATATACACCATCTTAAGTTGAAGTTGTGTTCAGTTTATTTGTATATTCCTGTTTCATCATTTAAACGACTTTTGTCACTGAAAAATAAAGTTTAGCGATGGCTCACTCACTACTCCAAAATCCATAGAGAGAAGTAAACAACATGTTCCTAGAATAGTCAAAATTATAGAACAAAATAAAGTATTCTACTCTTTCTTAAAAGCTTGTCTCTAATTTTTCTTCTCAGAAATGTTTATTCACATTTAATCATTTCCTTTTTTTAGCTAACCTTTAGCATCTGCGTTAGCGCTCAGGTTTAATCATGGCTACCTTCAACTGTAGCTGTCTTACAAATTGTGCTGATGTAACTTTTGTCTGCCTTTTCTGACTTGTCCTGCAACCGCATTGTAGTACTTCAATGCCACTCCTGACCTTGTCCTATCTTAGCATTGCTTTCCTCATCTTAAATGCTTTAAAACGCTGTAGTAACTACAACACTGCCATTGTTTTTTCTTCCTGAAAATGTGTACGAGCACGGTCCGATTCCATCGCTTTAATATCCATCTTTCACAGACACTATTGATTCAATGTGATATGTCCATCTTTTTCCTTTATCAACCCAACCTGCTGCGCATCTCTCAAAGCTCTATTTCTCTGTTATGTCACACTACACTCACACTGGTTAGTTGGTACAGAAAAAGAAGAAACCATAAAAGGTTAACGAGACGGTCATTCTGTAAATGTCACTACCTGCACGACAGGGACGTGTCCATGTAAGACGGCGAAAGTGAGTGGTGTCCCATGGCGTGTGTCAGGGTAAACTGAGGGGTGCTTGTTTACTGAGCTGGGCACCTGGGAAGTTATAGGTGAAGTCGAGGGAGAAAGAGATTTTCTGTTTATTGAATACATGGAATATTTAGGTTAGATGTGCGGGGGTGGGTGGGGAGGAAGAGAAGGAAAGCAGGACGAGGAAGAAAAGTTTTGAGCCTGAGAGAAAAAAAGCCCTTGGCTCCACCTCAGCATGAGTCAGTCAATGCGAGTCTGTCACAGTCAGATCTGGCCTTGCTTTGTACTGTCTGCTGCCCAGATCCATTGCTTTTTTTTTTCAAAGCAGGGAAATTGAAGCCATAGAGAAAAGACAACAGTGGTAAAGATGCTTTGAAAGAGGGCGTTGCTGAGTCACCAAGAGTAGCAGCAGCAGCAACAACAGAAGCAGCAGCAACATCAGAGTGAAATCAAACTGACGTAAAGCCTAATGTGGTTATGTGGGCTTTTTTTTTTTAATTCGTCTTCATCACAGAGTAAATTAACAGAAATGACTTCTGAGCGCCACCCGGAGGGGAGTGATGTACAAACACAGAGCTCTGATGCTCAGCACCAGTGGGACTGTTATTGTTTTTTTGTTTTACTCGCCGATGAATTATTCATATATTTATGACGTTAGGCCGTTTCTGCACAAACAGACGGCAGAGACGACATCAATATTTCACAGGATAATGATTCTACAGTTGCTTTTTAACTAAAATGTTTGGGTAACCTAGAGAACCTCTTGTGTTTTCTGGATTTCCAGACACATTTGTTTTATTTTATTACCATCTCCTCAGCTAATTCGCAGCTAGTTTTGTGCTGACTTTTAGCACATTTTCATATTCTCACATTTTAAGATTCTTCTGACCAACAATTGCTTTTGCTTGAATCTCTTCTAGTCTTTTGTGTGCTATTTTTGTTATATTCCGAATTAGTCTGCAACTTTGTTTTGTTTTTAGGCATTGAACAAATCAAAAAGAATATGTAGTAAAAGTCTAAATTTTGGTTGAAAAAATATATATTATATAATTATATATATATAATTTATATATAAAATATATAAAATGTATAAATTCATATATGTATATACATATATACACATATATATGAGTACATATACGGTATATACAGTATATTATATATATTATATAATTTATTTTTATAACTAAAATTTATATTTTTTCTATAAATTCTTCACTCAGTAAACGTATACAGGTATGGTCCAGCCCTGCCCCATGGTTATGGTTAAGGTCTTAGGACCAGTGTGAGGAAGTTCATGCATCTTGTGCAAAACTGAATGGACACACACACACACACACATACAGATAAATAATTCATGTCGTACAAAGCACCACAGCACCATTTGGCCCCTACAGGACTGTAATGAACTAACTGCCTGCTCACAGGGACTATAACTGTGGCTGATTATTTTTTTATGAGTGTGGAGTAAAAACTCTTGTTACTGTGTAAAACCATGCCTGCTTATTGGCTGCGCGCATGCACTTTATTCAGTGTAACAAGCTGCCAGCTATGATACGGTATTGTTTAAACATTCTATGTTTTTTTCAAAACATTTTTTTTTTATGGTTTATCTACAGGTATTAAATAAGTTGAAATATATATATATATATATATAAACACATAATGTATAAAACTTAAAACACTTTCTCGTGGCATCAAATTTTAGCATTTTTTGTGTGTTGCAGTTGATATATTTTCATAGTGTATATGTTTTTGTGTTGTCATTAGAGTGGAGTTTTGTTTAGTTTTCAAGTGAACAGCAGGATTCCAAAGCCGAGATGAAAAGAAAAAAGAAAGAAGAGGAATTGGGAAAAAAATTAGCAACAAACACATAATTTTTAATGTCTCAGTTAAACAAAAAATGTAACACAAATGTAACATAAATGTATATCAAAAATTACGAACACGTATACAATGTCAGGTCGATGAAGACAAATGCAGTTTGTGTGACTCTGGAGACCTGCATTCTACACTGACCTCACTGTTGATGTCGGCGCCGGCGTCGAGCAGCATCTGAACCATGGCCTCATCACCGCGTACGCAGGCGTACATGAGCGGGGTCATTCCCTGCAGGAGGAGGAACGGGGAGGTCATGAGAAAACAGTCTTCCTGAAGAAGTTAGAACGCTAAATATATTTAGTGCTTCCATCACTGAAAACATAGAAAACTCAGCACGGTGATCAGCTGGAAAAACAATTTAGAAGCTCAGGGTTCAGTTAGTGTTTGTGTGGCCTTTTATGATTTATTTGGACTGGTACAATATTGTTATTATTGTTAATAATAATCATAATAAGTATAATAATAATGAATACCAGTAATAATAACAATATCAACTTTTGGGATTTATTGTGGCTCTGTCAAAGTGTGGGGCTGCATTTTGTCCTATTTTACACAACTATATCAACTATTGTTATTGTTTTTGTAACATCATTTTGTTAATGCTAAGTTCTCAAATACATATCTCAGTCCCAACTTTAAGCCAATGTTGTGCAACCCTAGGTCATGGTTTAGCTTTATTCTTTTACACTTCTACACTTCTTTTTTTTATCCAAATTTTTTGAATACATTTGCTTACATTAAGCTGTGTTTCTGGATTTCAAACTATTTCATGTCAAATAGTTTTGCTAAATCTAACCTGTTTCTATAATCAGGCTAACTGTCTGCCCTCAAAGCTCCAAAAACTGGAGATTTACATACATTTGTATTACATAACCACTAAAACGAAAACACTAAAGGAACGTGTTAAAGCACAATGCATTTCTATAGAATGCATTTATACTGCAATGTCAAGTAGAGCAGAAATAAAATATTCTATATTATTAAATCTGACTCTCCTGCTGTGAAACCAGACCAGAATCATATGTCTGAGTCTTTTACATCCGACAAAGGCCTCTTTAATCCACCTCTGTGATGTCACACCACAGCCGTTAACGTTGAAGATCCCAACGCGGTGATTCACTCCTAAATATTTCCTGCCCAACGATTTATTTAATCAGCTCTCAGCAGCAGGCTGACGGACAATGAGCATCATCAGGATCATGATGAGGTCAGGTGCCTCTCAGCCACAGTGACAGGCAGCACATTTGGGCTTTATTGTTCCTATAATGTCATCTGGTTCCTCTGTGAGAAAATAAAGCCTGTGGGTCAGCGCGGCTTGTTAAAGGTGTGACGCAGATAGATGGGAGGAGACGGTCGATAACGCCAGGCTGTATGTAGGTGATGCTAAACTGAGGCTCCCTGAATTCATGAAAATAAATAAAATCTCAATGTTTTTATACCCCAGTGACTCCTCCAGGACATGTATTATAGCAAATACACTTCCTGTTGTTGTGTATTTGAAAGATATACTGACACACAGTCAGTGTTGATATCATTTTAGATGAGATATGACATGGCTGCCAGAGGGGAGACAGGACAAATAAAGGTTTATGTCCACCTCACTAAAGGCTGGTCCAAACAACAAAGCACTCCCCTCTTAACACATTCATCACTATTTCTAACAAAAAAACTCCACTGTACTTCATTTTAAATATTGTCATTTCTACAAAATGAAAATACAACTTCAAATCAGTGCCATTTGGCTGTGGAAACATTAAAGATGATATTGAAAATGCCTTTCATTTGCCTTGCTGCACCTGCAATAGTTCCTATAAAAAGCAGAGCCTGTGTAGCTGCAACCTTAAAGTGTAGGGCAGTGATCATCAACTGACGGCCTGTGGACCAAATGCAGTCCACCAAATTGTGAAATTTGGTCCCCAACTGGATTGATCAAATGATAATGTAAGACAAAAATGTATTTCTAAATGTATTTCTAAATGTTTTCAATGATTTCCTATTCTTCATTTGTGGATAATAATAGAAAAAAGTACAGGTGTCTGGTGCGGCAAAACCTGAGCTAACGCTTTACGAGTTGCCCTGACGGCAACTTCAGCTTTGAAAAAAAGGATTTCCTGCAGATCTGAAGTCACACGATGACTTTCTCTGAGCATAGAATAAATACGTTGACTCATATAGTTAACAAAACCCTACAATAAAATGCATTTTCTTAATTAGAAGCAATCTGTGTACAGCATATGTGTTGAGAGGGTTGTGCTGCCAGGTAGTACTCCCTAATAGGACACATTTACGCTGAATGACTGCTCACACAGTATCTGAGTAGGTATTAATGCAGGATTGTGTGTGTGAGTTACAGTGCGTGTGTGTGTGTGTGTGTGTGTGTCAGACCTTTTCACTCATGCTGTTAATGCCATCCGGTCCCAGCAGGTTCACTGCCTGCTTGACCAGGTCTGTGCGTCCACAGTTGAGCATTCTAAACCCCAGGTCCTGCAGGAATTTGGCCTCAGTGGAGGCTGCGTCCAATTTCCTGGTGGCACAGAAACAATCCTCGGCTCTTCATACGGAAGAAAGAAAATAGAAAACTTTATTTGTAAATATACTTTTAAAATACTGTATTTCCCAGACTATAAGTCGCACTTTTTTCATCCTTTGGCTGGGTTTGCGACTTATACTCAGGTGCAACTTATACAGTTTATATTGAAATATATACATTTTTGTTATTTATACACTGACAACCGCTAGAGGGCACTGGTGCGACTAATACTGCGGAGAGACTTATAGTCCAGAAAATATGGTAGTCAACATGGCGTTTACTGTAGCAAGACTTGACAAGGAAAAACCACAAAGGCCAGTAAACAAATTAAAAAAATATATTTTACATTTCTGCTTCAGACAAAACAGTGAAAAGAATTCACTCACTTTATTTGTCGAGGTTCACAGTCCACTCCGGGGAGCAGCAACCTGGCCGCCTGCCTGACATCATCACTATCCACGGAGAAGCTTCGTCGATGCTCAGTGTGGGCGACGGCGACGCGGATCCACTCCATCAGCGGCGGCAGTACCAGAAAGGGCCTGTAGGGGAGAGAAACAGATGAAAAATCCACTGTGATTGAAGAAGAATCTTGAAGAATAATTATAAAAATTGAATTTTTTGTAAAAAAATGTTGTTTGTAAAACGAGGTAAGAAAATTGGTGTAAGGTTTTGAAAGTGTTTCTGTGGTTTTGTAGTGAGGTATGTTTTTTAAAGTGGGCTCTCAGATGTTGGAGGTGCACAGCTCAGCCAAATACTGGGAAGTTGTATTTTATTTAGCCTTTATTTGGATTTTTTGTATATGATGAACAACCTCTATTTGCATTAATAAAACTTATGTTCAACCCTTTGGTAAACTTTAAGCATCATACAATGGTTAATTATAATGGAGATCAAACTAATTACTACACAGCCAGCCCAATAATAACCTTTTAAACCAATGGACCTTGGGTATATAAAAACGCCTCCTTAAGTCTTAAATGGGATCATTTCACGATATGGTTGTTAAACTATATCAAAAATCCATTAGTGATGTTCTCTCTGGAGCTACTCCTCCCACAGAACTTTAGGCATGGATACAATTAAAAAAAAAATTCTAAGTGAGCCATTAAATATTCTCAAGTCACTGCCTTAAACATGGCACCATCAAGTAAGTCTAAATGATAAAAGCCTGAAGGATTGATTTAGTGATTTATTTTCAAAGGGATTCCTGCATACTGTTCCAGTTTTCCGTCTGTAAGCCAGCGAGCGTGTGGCCCGTTAGCTCAGAGGCTTTCACGTTTCTATCGCACACTCAGAGCCTGTGAAATATTAAATATTGCAGCACCATCTACAGTAACTACAGCGTGTTCTCCAGGGACTGCGTCGTGTCTGTCATCCTGCGAGCACGTTTGAATTCGTTGCAGTGCTTTATTCCATCCTCGGAGGATAAGATTACAGCAGCGCAGAACTCACACTAATCAGCAATACGCTCTGCTGAGGCAGACGCAGCGAGTTAAAACTGGGAAAGGAAAGAAGCAAAACAACCCAAACTGAGGCAGGTGTTTACAGGAAGTCCCTGATCTCCAAACGCCGCTTTGAAAGAATTTCTGTTGGCGACGGGTTTCTGGATATTTTTGTTTATCAGACACAGACACAGATGAAAAACAGCTGATCATTACGTTCCTACTGTCTTCATCACACATCAATGTTGAAAACTACAGGACTAGATTCAAAAGTACTGTGTGTTTCTAACCACAGTACAGCTTTATTCTTTAAATAGGTTTCTGTGTGTACTGACACAGAATGTATTTTTTAAAACCAATATAACTGTTCAGTAAATAGATGTTTTATTTTTTGATTTACAGATGTGAATCTGAATTCCAACTAAAATAGAGACCAAAATAACAGAAAACAAAAGTCAATTCTCACCATGTACAAGAATTTAGCTTAGCTTAGCTGTTGTGTTTGTATTCAAATCATTGTCATACAAAATACACTGGTTAATATATGCAGACAACACAAGGCTTTGTTCATCTAAATCAGTAAGCTTCATTATCATTGACACCATATTGACACAACAATCAAAACTTCTACTGTACATTCACTAGCTAGCTAGCTAATCAAGATAAGCTAGGCTAATTTTTCTAATAAAACCTGGCCTACACTTGGGTGAGGAAAATAAATCTGGTAATTTTCAAGTTGATAAACTCAAATTTGATTATAAATCATTTTGGCCTTCTGCTCCACAGTGCCACCCAATTACACTATTGAAATTTTCCCCTGGCCTACGACCATACCAACCTGGACACGCGATCTCGTCTGATCTCAAAAGCTAAGATCGCCTGTGTTGGGTTAAAAGCAGTTGTTATTCTATACTTTTTTTATATATAAATATAATTGCAGATTGTCTAGATATTGTCTAGTTGTTATTCTATACTTTTTTTTTTTTTATAATTGCAGATTGTCTAGATATTGTCCTCAGTGACATTTTCCTTCTGACAGAGAAAGACATTGTTTTTTCTCTTATCCTAAAGTTATACTTTTAGCAGAATACAAGTGTACTTTTACTACATGCACCATATAACGAAGAGTAATTCTGACTCAATCCCTTCCAGTCTTGATGATAATGATGATAACAATAGACCCCTGTCTGTGAAAAGCTTTTAAACCAATGACAATGAACCTCGGATGCATTAAAGAAGCCCCTTAAACAAAAGAATTAATGGGGATAATTTCACCTTATCCTGAGCAGATGATATTAAGAACCCATCAGTGACGTTCTCGTTGGAGATACTGCTCCCTCAAGAGCGATAGTCAGATATAATTTCACAGAAACTTAAAAATGAAGCTGGCATTTTTCAATGACGAGCAGCCTGGTTAATCAAACTCAATCAGTGGAGCGGCCTCTTATAATTCATTTACAGTGTTTAACTAACTCAGCAGAGTTGTTTTCAGTAGTTTTAAATGAAAAAAAACAACTGCATCTTGACAATTGATGTTTGTCAGGATTATTTAAGAAACAAGCCGAGGTTATACTGCATTTCTTTAACACTTTAACACTCAGTGATTTCTGGGCCTGTGCTTTAACTAAAGTCTGCTTTCACAAGAGAGATTAACTGCCGAAGGACTCGCTGTTAACGAAAAAAAAAAAAAAACTGGAGCTGATAGTAAAACTGGAGGCCACAGACAGACGCTGCATTTAAAAGTAAAAGTCCAGTCACTGAAGCTTTGGTCCAACATGGATCATATTGTAAAACGCATGCAAGTTATGGATACACAGCCCTGTCTCTTTTACAAAAACTATAAGTTGAAATTTTATAAAAATATTGGCCTGTATTGGACCATGCTCAAAATCCCAATACAAGTATAAAGCAACATAATCTAGTTCCCTGGTGGCAAAAAGGCAGATGACGGTTGGATGGTTAGGAGAGACGACACTGCCCTCTGCTGGAGTTTAACACCTCAGAGGAAGTGTCTTATGGTTAATGTTGCAGTGCATTTGCACTGATATTTTGAGTCACTTATTTTAACTGAGGACCTGCACAAGCAGAACAATAACGCCGCGTGTTCTTGTTTGTTTCTTACTAATTGCAGTGACCGCAGAGAATTTCTAAAGAACTAATTGTAATTGTAATGACCGCAGAGAATTTCTAAAGAACTAATAACTATGAGGCCAGAAGTAAAAAACTTCTAAGACAAATGTAAAAAACCCTCTATATTATATGATATTTATCTCCATCTATGTCTAAACTCCTCTGCAGTAGTTTTTCAATAGGATCATTTATTTTTTTGTAGCGCTCTGGAAATCTTGGACACCAGGTTAAAACCTCAACTCAAGTGTCTTTCAAATATTCTTTCAGTTCTGGGAAGATAAAAAAATCAGATATGTTTCCATGGTTTGCTTTTTATGATTAAACAAAAACCTGAACAAATAAAAGGTCGCTCAACACTTGAAGAAGACACAATAATGAAATGCCTGAGAGAACAGTCCAGTGAAAAAACACCTGCAGCATTTACGCCATCTGCCTGACAACTACATGACTCACCATCACACTGTACTGGTCCAGGGCACTGGTGACTGGACTGCTCCTGATTTTGGCATGGAGCAAAAAGGTCATGTTCATAAGACCATGACATTTTTTTTCGAGAAGACGTTTCTGTCAGAAGATTAAGGATGAAGACCACCCTAAGACTAATAAATGGGGAGTTGAGTAAAAAGGGACATTCTGGACAAACTGTTTTAAAGCACATTTGCTCATTTTCCACCTTGGAGAATATCTTTGTGAATATCTGCAGTATTTCTCTTCCTCAGGTGTGTACCGTAAGTCAAGTCCCACATTTTGCACCAAACAAACTGTGTTTTCCAGATCCTTCTCTTCTCCGCTGAACCTTTCAGCTGAATGTTAAACAGAGCGTTTCCTCTCCTGAGACCTGGTGAGCCTGCTGACATGTCACTCTCCCTGACATTCCTCTTTCTCCCAATGGTCATCAGGAGGAAGTTTTATCTCTCAGAGAACAGACCATCAGAATATTTGTCCGTGAGTCCATCCACAAGTGATTCCCTGCCTGGCTGTCCATCAATCAGCTCTGTGGAAATCTAGCTAACAATCTAAGGCTTATGTTCGATGCTAATTATGCGTACAGAGCCTTTGGTCACTCTAATTCATATGTTACTGGCATGATACGTTCATTATAGGCTTTAGATTCATACCCGCAGAAAATGGAGTGTTACCACCAAATGGGGGCAGTATTGCTCTTGCGCAACCGTAAAGAATAGAGAAGAAGACAACAACATGAATGTTGTTTTCCAGCAGGACAACTATGACGTAACTTTCCTGGCTGATAGGGACGGAGAAGTTATGAAGTTAACTTTTGGAAGGAAGGGTAAGGTCGCAAACTGTATTCAAGCCTGAAGACTTCTGCCCCCGGTGGAGGAATACCTCAACAAACTATGAATGGGAAATTGTGCGCAGTGACAAATAAAAATAGATATAGATTATATAGATTTTCATACGATGAGTGAGGAATCCCTCACAAATTCTAGAACCCAGGTTGAGATTTGAACCAATAACCTTCCCATTACTAGCCAATTGAGGGCAAGGACTGACTGTGTAAATGTAGGTCTAAGAATCTTCTAATCCTGGACCTTCAAAATCCTCTGGCCCTAACAGGAACCAGGGAATAATTATCCTTGTACATTTCAAAACAAAAAAAACTTTTTGGACTCACCTCTCAGTCTGTAAAGTGACTTTGGATGGCTCCACGTTGGGATTCTCCCATTCCATCTGTGGACAGTGCATGAAGTAACACAGCGTGTACAGCGCCTCAGGTTCCCAGTGTACCGTGGTGTTGGTCTTTTGGTGAACTGGAGTGCCATTGCCGGAGCTTTTGACGTGCAGCGGCTGCAGGTGGTGCATCGCCCGGGACACCAAATCACCTGGAAGATATTTTTATACTCAGTACCATCATCGCTTGTTATTTTGCTTTATTATCTGCAGGTACAAAAGAGACACACAAACACTGTGAACATCAGTGACGGGAGAGAGAGATTCATGGAGAGTCCACTCTCAGAGCACACATTCATTTCCTGCACCTCTGCCGTGACACAGGTACTTGAGGCACATCTGTAATGATTTGGAGACAATCCAGCTCATTCACACTGCCTCTGATTCACAGAACATAAAGCCAGCCTTCTCACACTCTGAGTGGGAACCCACAGCCTTGAAATGAAACCTTACACACAGATTTGCCTTTATTTTTTTTTTAAAACCTCTTTTTTTTGTTGCAGCTCTTTGCACTAGAGTTACTCACACACTGAGTCATGGGGATGTACAAAACCAGGGTTTTGTCAGAGGGCAGCCATCATTAAGGCTTTCAGACATTTTATTTATATTACATATATATGTATATAGTATATATATAAATAATATACATACATATATATATTAAAATATAAATAAAATGTCTGCAGCAACCTCCTCTACAGCATCCACTATCTACATATATAAAACACATATATACATACATAGACCGACACACATTTATATACAGTAAACATATACGTACATACATCACGTGTTTTTGATGTTTAGATAGGGGGGATTTTAATTTGATCAACTAATGGTATATTTATGGAGGACTGGAACAAATCAATTGGTTTTTACTTATTTTTAATGGGGAAAATGTAATCAAGATAAGAGCAGATCGACATAATAGTGCTGTTGTGGAACGGATTAATCTCGTATCTTGAAGCCCTACTGTACAAATGCACATACACATATAAACATATATACACATACATATATAAATACATATATACATATATACAGTATATATATATACACTATACACATATAATATGTACTGTATATGTACACATACATATATAAATACATGTATACATATATACACACAAAATATATACATTATATGTATATATACAAATACCTATATAAACATATATACACACATACATACACTATATACACATTGTATGTGTATATACAAATACATATATATTTACAAACATATGTATATATCTATATTTTCTGGATCCATGATTTGACAAAACTAGACAAATCAATAGACTGTAAGACCTGAATGTCGTTTCATAACGCCAACATCTATTATTCATCAACATATTAATATTAATGAGCAGATAATTAAAAGTCCTTTATTATAATGTAGCTTCAGAAAAAACTTCAACATTTTGATGAAGTAAATGAGTAAATAATGAAATCAATCAGGACATAATTTCTCTGAGAACATCTTGACAAATGGCTCTGGACTGTTTTTTTCCTCTTAAAAAAAACATCATTAGTCAGAATTGGCGTCACTAACGACCTCGAGGATAAACTGCTGCGGAGCTGCCAGAGAATTTTCCTCTTCTTCTGATGATGACTAAACGTCTGTCTCTGTCGAATTTAAGACTCTTTAAAACTTTTAACCTCCTACAATGTCAGAGAAAAAAAGGACTAGTCTGCTACCGTTCAAAGTCGGCTATTGCTTTGATTTCTGGTGAAAAGATCATGTTTCTAAGGGTAACACTTAGGCTCGATCTGATACTCGGGATCGGTCCGATATTGGTCCCGATTTCAGGATCGCTGGAGGAGACAAGAAGGTATCGGATAGCTATTGGTATGGGCAGATACTCCAAGTTGCAGCATCGTTGCAGCATGTGAGCTGCTGGTCTGAATATTAATAAGAGCAGAGATGGTGATGAAGATTAAGAAAACAAAACAAAAAAGGATTAAAAATGAAAAAAGCAGCCTACAATGTCAGGAGACTCTCCAGGAATCTCTCCAAGAACTGATGAGATTCCTCTGAGGTTTTGTAAGAACTTGCTGAGCAGAACCAGAGCTCGGTAAAAACCACAGTACATCAATAAATCATCAACTAGAAAAATCTTCCAACAGAGAAGACTCTAAAGCTGAGGTTGAACCACCTCGGGCCTGCCGCCAGTCCTGGCTCCTGGACAGGTTTTATGTTGTTGTGTTTTTTTTTATTCTTTTACTAAACACTGTTGACACATTATTAATTTAAAAACCTCTTCATTATTAATGATATTATTAAGTATTTATGCAACATTTCATTCAACTTTGAGTTTGAAGTCACAATAGAAAACAGGAAAAACAGTGTTTTGCTTAGTCACAGCTATGTATGTTACTAATTGCTAGCAATTTTGCCGTAGCACCTAATTTGGTATTTTGTTCCTCCGTTTCTCGATGTTTTTTTCTGACTTTGGTTCTGTCATCAGGTCATTCGTTCTTTTCTCCTCTGCTGTAATTATCTGAAAAACACTCCTGTGAGGATTATTATGCTTCATTTAATTTAAATTAATCACAGAGGACAGCTTAGAGTCGTTCTCTCTCCCAGCCAAATCTCATTGAAGGACGAGACGAAAAAAAAAAGTTCTCTCCAATTAAGAAAAGAAAATTGGAAAGTCTAAAAATGAAATGTCATATTTTGCTGCAGGATTCTACGTTCTAAAACTTTGCCAAAGCTTGACGTACAATGTTAAGACATTTTTCAGTCGTTCAAATTCCACTACCACCTGGTTCACATCTGGTTTTCATCAGACAATAATTCGTCCCACTAATGAGCAGTCCTCGGTGATGAACTTATAAGAGCACTGAATAAAATTCCTGGTACTTTTGTTGAAGCCCAAATATAGTCAGATAAAAAGTTCTTTAAATAACAATCATGTTTATTTTAGTTTGTTTTGTACTTATTTAATGACAATCAGCCTTACCTTATGATACTGATGTTCTCAGAAATGTCTCTATGGTGCTAGCTAGCTGGCTGTGCTAGTGCCGGTTTATACTGTATGTGTAAACAATATCACAAATGTATTAGAATTTATATTTTTTACTGTTGACCCTGAGAGGTCTGGGCACCTCTGGTTGAGAACCCTGGGTCTATATGATACTGATCTATTGAGTCTGTCATGGTGCGGTTTAATGCAGTGTATTTTTCCAACCTGGAGGTGCTTTTATTTTCAAAGTAAGGTCAGTCCGTCTCCTTCACACTAGTGCATCACCTACAGAGGCTCCTGTGACGCTGCATCACAAAATCCATTCACATTTTCATCACAAACTTTCAGTCCTCACCAGGCCCTCGAAACCCAGGAGTCAGAAAATGCAGCAGTAAATGACTCCCTCCTCCACGTCCTTCCCCTCCCCCCTCCTCCCCCGTAAATTTTCCTAGCTGTCTTCTCAGTGTACGTGAAGGTGAAGCCGGTCTCATTGCTGCACAGTGTGCCTAATTAGTTCAAATGATTCACCAGTTTTGGTGAAAACTTGCTTGATTATTTTCATTTAGCTCTGATTTTAATCAGATCCAAGCGTCTAGTGTTTGTGTTTCTGCAAATATCAGTGATTTTCTCCGTTCCGTGGATGTCTGGTGTCGAATCAAGGAGAAGCGGTACGTTTTAATCAGAGCTCTGATAGTTTTTTTTCAGTTTCAGGAGTCTCTGCTCGTTTTGTCTCAGGCTGATACTCGGTCCCTTCTGGGACCAGAATCCATCAAAAGAGCAGAGTTCGTAATGGAAAAGAGATGGATGACAAGCGGTACAATAGGATTCCTTTAGGTGAAGGTTTGATTCTTAATCCTTCTATTGAGTAAATGTTGAGAAAAGATCACTCGAATAACTCCCAGGGTTTTAACATTAAATAATCAGAGATTGTTGTTGTAAACAAAAAAAAGTATAGATTGACAATAAAGAAGTTGATGAAACATATCACAAAAATCTGCAAAGACCAAGGTTGAAGAGTTCTGTTAGGCAACTGGACGTGAAATTTTCTCAAAGGAGACGTTTCGCCTCATCATCCTAACGTCTTCAACAGAACTCTTCAACCTTGACCATGACCTGAATGACTTCATCGACGTGCAAAAGGGAATACATTCAAGAAAAATTCTTGCTGTAAGACAGAACCACTAGCCACTGCATCACTTTCTTGGTGGTACATTTCTACCACTGCCCCTTGTAACTCATTATGCTAGAATTGGGGCGACCCCACGTTTCATTAAAAGCACCACATGACGTCACAGATGATAAATGCCCTGCTGCTTTCCTCCCCACCTGTACGTCATAAAGGCCCCGGACGACCACACTGGGGGACATTTTAATCATCACTCTGGGTTACGACCCTCACAGAAGCTCCGCCTCTGGAGCAGGTTAGCAATTTCACAGCATCAACTAATCACAGCCAATTACAGGACATGTCACTGTGGACACAGGAGCCGAGGCCGATCCTTTTACCAGCACGTCTCAGGTTAAGATTAATCACATTTAATGAAAGATGTGGGAGGAAAATAAAGGCTGATCTTTTGTTCGAACAGACGGGCGCTACAGCGGCAGCCACTTGTGAGACCTGACGGTGGCAGCCCGCTGCTTTAATAATCCAGGATCACACCTTTATTCCAACCTGACAGGGACGCAGAGGGACCATCTGGAGCAGTGGGAGTTTACGAGATGAGCTGAAACAAAAGACTTTAATTATATCTGAGTTTCTTTCTTGCAGGCAAAAAAGAAAAAAAAAACGAGTGGGGAGGAGGAGGAGGAGTGTTAGCTGAACGATTACATTATTTAAGAGGAATGACAAGTATAAAAACTAAAAACTTTCAAAGCTGAAAGTTATTCAAAAGAAGGCTAAAATTAGCCTGAACACAACTCAGAATTAGCACGAAAACATCTTAAGGATAGACAATAAATATGCTAAAAATGAGCAGAGAGATACCGGATGATTAGCTAGATGTTATTTTGAATAGAGTACAAGCAAGTTTTAAGTAACAAATTACCCAAGAAAAAAGCTAACACCTGGCTAATATTGTAAAAGAGCTAAAAGTGGTAAATAAATAGATACATGATGTCAAAACAATTGTTCCTGAAAATAAGACAACTAAGCTAACAAGCTAAGCTAAAAAAAAGCTAAATAT